AGCTGGAGAAACAAATTACGGGTAAAATGTGACAGACAACACTAAATGAAACACATATGAGCCTATATATCAATGACATATCCATGCAGGGAAAAATGCTAATTAAGTAAAAATGTTGTTATTAAAGGTCTTATTAAAAAAACAAATAAAGGTCTTATTTACATACAATATAGCTTACCCATTCTATGTGTACGATTCAATTTCTTAGGTAAATTTACAGTTTATATTTACTACATTTTAGTAAATAAAGCTGGATTTACTGCATCGCAGTTAGAAAACATTTCCATAACCCCCAAAGGATCCCTCTTGTTCGTATACATGCAGTCCCCCCAACACCCCTTCCTCTGACAACCACTAACTACTGTCCCTCTCCATGTATCGGACTACTCTGGATGTTTCATAAAAAGAATCACACAGGGGATCCCTGGGTGGCTCAGCGATTTGGTGCCTGCCTTTGGTCCGGGGCACGATCCTGGAGCCCAGGATTGAGTCCCAAGTCAGGCTCGTGGCATGGAGCCTGCTTCTCCCTCTGCCTGTGTCTCTGCCTCTCTCTCCCTCTCTCCCTCTCTCTCTCTCTCTCCATATATATATATATATATATATCAGGAATAAATAAATAAAATCTTTAAAAAAAAAGAATCACACAATACATGATATTTTGTGACTGCCTTCTCTCTTACTCAGCATTAGGTTTTGAGAGCCATTCATTTTTAGCATGTATCAGAACTTTGTTCCTGTCTACAAATGAATAATATTGCACTGTCTGGATACACCATGTTCTGTTATCCATGCAACTGTTGGTGGACACGCTGCAGTGCCTTGAAGTGCTGGTCAATGCTCTAAGTGTAGGGTTAGCTGGGGAGCAGGAGATGGCACCCCTGCTCCAGTCCAGCTTCATGTGGGAAAGATCAGCCTCTCAGGGCATAATTCATGTAAAGGAAACTGTGTCAGTAGGAGGGCCTGACACTTATATCAGGCTATCATGCATTCATTCAATCACTATTTTTTTATTTTTATTTTTATTTTTTTTTTCATTCAATCACTATTAATTGTAGCCTACCATACTCCAAGTCTTAGACCCTGTATACAATCCCTGCTGGTGCTTACAACCTACCAGAGAACCAGACAGCAAACAGACACAAAAGACAGGAAGTGAGGAGTTCAGAAAAAGGCAGCATAAAGAAACAGACATGCTGCTATATTAGATAGAGTGTTCAGGGAGGCCCTCAGATGAGTTTGAATGGACATGAGAATAAAGCAGGGACATGTGCAGGTCACTGTGGGAACAGTGTCTTAGATGAGGGAACAGCAAGGAGAGCCACATGTTTAAAGATTTCTTTCTTTTTTTAAGATTTTATTTATTTATTCATGAGACACACACACACAGAGAGAGAGAGAGAGAGAGAGAGACAGAGACAGAGACAGAGACACAGGCAGAGGGAGAAGCAGGCTCCATGCAGGGAGCCTGATGCAGGATCTGATCCTGGGACTCCCTGGGCTGAAGGCAGGCGCCAAACCCGAGCCACCTAGGGATCCCCTGTTTAAAGATTTCTTTGAGGAAGTCATAGTTGAGCTAAACTTGAATAACAAAAAGGCAGGCATGTAAGGGTCTGGGCACTAGGGTTACTAGGAAAGGAGTCAGCACATTTGGAGTGAGAGGGGGTCTGCAATGAGGGGTCAAGCTGCACAGGGTCTGCCAGATGGGTGGGAAACCACTGATGAGTTTCAAGCTCATCATTTTCAGGAGACGAAAAATATTTTTAAAAATGAGCTCGCGCATGAGGCTTATCAGGGAGGCAGTAAGGGGCAGTTTTTCCCCTGTGCGTCAGGGAAGACCCCATCAGTGACGCCTACACCAAGTCTGCATTCATCTTCACACTCAACACCAGCCAACAGCTCCGCCATCACTAGATGTTTGCCCAAGTCAGATGTTTGGGCCAAGTGTAGAACAGTGAACAAGGGGGATCCCTGGGTGGCGCAGCGGTTTGGCGCCTGCCTTTGGCCCAGGGCGCCATCCTGGAGACCCGGGATCGAATCCCACGTCGGGCTCCTGGTGCATGGAGCCTGCTTCTCTCTCTGCCTCTCTTTCTCTCTCTCTGTGACTATCATAAATAAATAAAAATTAAAAAAAAAAAAAAAAAAGAACAGTGAACAAGGCAGGAAGATTCCTGCTCTGGATCTTCGAAGGGGGAGACAAACAGCAGTAAGCACGTTTACTCTCCAACAATAACAAAGCAGGGTGGCAGGAGGTGGAGGGTCCAGGGAGGCCCATCTGGGGAGCCGTGTCACAGGAAGATGTGACCTCCTGGTGCTCTGCAGGGTCCAGGGGCGGGAGGGGCCCTGCAGGTGGCCTGGGCTGAAGGGGTGATTTTCCAGGAAGGGGCAGGGCCACTGTCCTGTTATTCTTTGCTATGCAACAAGCCACCCCAAAACGTGGTGGCTTCAAACTATATAGGTTTTCACAGTTTCATTGTTCAGGTGCAATCATGTACTGAAAAAGTGTTGTAACAGACTTCTTGGGATGCCTGGGTGGCTCAGTGGTTGAGCATCTGCTTTTGGCTCAAGGCGTGATCCAGAGTGCCAGGATCGAGTCTCACATTGGGCTCCCTGCGTGGAGTCTGCTTCTACCTCTGCCTGTGTCTCTGCCTCGGTCTGTCTCTCATGAATAAACTAAATCTTAAAAAAAAAAATTCTTTCCAGGATAAACAAAAACAAAACCAGATGACCCTGATTTGTAGCATTTGCCAGTTTCTGTGGTATGAATCCTCCCTGAGCAGGGTCAACCTACCAATTTGCAGTCCACAAACAGGTGAGTGGACAGGGGTGTGCACCATCCTGGAGAACTGACATGCAGACTTATCAATGCAAATACCCATGGGAGCACACGCGATGGTTGGATGGAGTGAATTCATTAGGAAGGGATGAGTCCTGAGTGCTTATGACCTTTGTTTTTAACATGACTTATGAATTCCAAATGTTTATGATTTTTAAATGACTATCTTTAAGTTACTGGGTCACGACATTCCTCAGACCAGGACAGTGGTCTCCTGGGAGCTGGCAAGACAGCTCTTCTGTGGGTCACCAGGGCTCAGCTGGCCAATCTTTAGAACCGAGTCTCTCTCAGGATCCTCTGAAAAGCCATGACAGCAGCTGAACGCAGAAAGGATTGCACATGGCCTGCTCTGCTGCATTCACTTTTGCCAATGTCCCAAGAGATAGGATGGCGTCAGAGAGGGCTGACTAGGAGCACTCCCATGTGCATCAAGGTCCTGGGGATTAATTCCGCAGGGAGCTGTGAATCTCAAAAGTGTGTCTGGGCTCCTCCGTGTCCCCACCCCACCCCACACACGCTGGCAAGCCCAAGGAGAGTAACTGAGACCTGGCATTACCTCTGGGCCACTGCCAGCAGTTCCCATTAGCGTCAGGCCTCCCTCAGCAGGCTGAGGTCTGACAGGCTGTCTGACCTTTCTGGGCTCAAGCCCCAGAGCTACTGACCCGCAGCTGGTCTGCTTTCCTGGTGAGTCCTACTGACAACCCCTGACACTTACCTTCCCCTGGCCGGAGGCTGCCCCACCTGCCTGTGGAGTGCTGACGGCCCAGGAGGCTGTGGTCTGGCCTATTAGTGATTAGGACAGGAATGGGTTTCCATTTGAACCAGTGGGGAAGTTCACTTGCTTTTGGGCATTCAGTTTCCTGCATCCAGCCACACGTGAAGCCAGGTCTACGCTGGACTTTCTAACTGCACTCAGTCTGCCACTCACTTTTTTCTCTCAGCCTGAGGTTGGCTTCCTGCTGCTGGTATCCACCAGACATCCTGATTCAGAGCTGGGCTCCTCTGGGCCTCCTCTCTGCAGCGGCAGGAGGACCCTCTCAACTTCTCTCCCGGTTTGCTTGCTTCCCTGGGGCAGAATCCACTAACACCGCTCTGCTCTCACATGTGAGCCTGCGCTGACATGAGCTGCTGGATTCTGGCTGTGCCCAGGAAGGCCTCCACAGCATCAATGGCTTCCCTCATTGCTCAGACCTGCGGGCCAGGAAGGACTAGTGTGCAGCCCCTTCGATGGTGCACCGCAGATGGGGGTGTGGGCAGGGCTGGCCCCTCTTCTCATGGGGACACAAGTCTGGGGACGGGCTGGGTGAGGCTGTGGAAGGAGGGGACAGGGAGCAAGCAGCAGAGAGCCAGTGGGGCCTGCTCCAGGCTTGGCCCAAGCACCTGTAGACCAGCACATTCTTGAGGTGGCCACTCACACCCAGGCAGCCTGTGCCACCTAGACACCCCCCCCACCCACCCACGGGGATCCAGCCCAAACGTGGGCTGGCTACTAGGTGGGGTGGGAGGGTGTTGCCAAATAGGAACTGATAAAAACATGAGTGCACATCCACCCAGGTCTGTGAAATAGCCCAGAGAACAGCTGCCCTGGCCCCGAGGCTCCACCTATGAGCCAGAGCAGATAAGCTCTGTTCTGACCCCAGCACTTATTAGGAAAGGGGAGGTCCAGGGGTTGGTCCACAGAGTCGGCCCTGCCCTATGTAACCCGCAGTCTAAAGGGACCTGTGTCCTATCCTTCACAGAAGGAGCCAGTGCAGCCCAAGTGAAGTCACACGTTCTGTTTAAACCCAGGCTTAAAGAGCTGGCATATCCCTCAGAAGCCGCACTTTTGTTTTTACTCTTTCAAAAGAGAAGGGAGTGATGATGTGAAGGGCAGGCCTCACTCCTGCACAGGCTAAGCCCAGGGCAGAGACATGAAGCCACAGCTTCCATATGCGACTGAAAGGCTGTTACTTTGGGCTGGTGGACCCACAAGATGCTGTGCCTTCCCCTCTTCCCTAGGTGCTTAGACCTAGGCCTCAAGCCCATGTCCCATGTGCCTACAGGTCCTATTCAGCCCACATGGCTCATTAGACAGACTCTCAGTGGCATTCAATCAGTAACCAGTGAGGCCTGTAGCCTGTGCACCGTGACAGCAACAAGCGCATTGCAGCTGACACACAGACAAATGTGTGGGAAGAGAAACAGACACGGCTTGTTTATTAGAATGCAGGGAGGAGGAGGCCTCTTCCATAAACACGGTGCTGCTTCTCAGAGTCTGTATCAAGAGCAAGACAACAGTTGAAAATCCTATTCCTGAGAAGCAAAAAGTTACAATTTTGCAAACAAAAATAATAGATGATCTCAACAAAAGATAAAAAACATTTTTCTTTTTAACAAAGAACAAAACTTCAAGTATTATTCCAGATGACATGGCAAACCCAACGCAGGACAGGACTAGTGGAGGCAAAGGTCCCTCGCACTTCTGTGGAAGGAGCTGCTCCCGAGGCTGGGGCATTAGCAGGGAGGAAGTGAGGGTGGTGGGGCATGGGGGCGGCTCAGTGAGGCCTGCAGCTATGCCCACAGAATAAGAAGTAGGCACCAAAGCTTCGCTTCCTGGCAAGTGCTCCCCGTCCTCTGCCCTCCTGGGACAAGGCCACGCACTTAATGCTGGGTGTCTAGGGTTAGCGGTTCTGGACATCATTTTTTCTTTTTTAATAAACGGAAACATGTTTATTCTTTCAAATATTCTACTATCCCAATTTTAGTCAATTTGTAAATTATAAATTATATTACTTGTGCTACAGTTTGTGATAAATCTTACTAAAAGATAAGCACCAAACCTATTACAAAAAAGCCTAAGATGCTGTGGCTTTCCCCACAGCAGGACGCTCGGGTGCACCCTGCAGGCTGTAAACTTTTGCTCCCTTTCCCTTAAACAACAGACTTTCCTTTTTTCTCCCACAAAAGATTTCTTGGAGAGAGATGTCTATGTTAAGCATAGTTTTGGGAGGGGACATCAGACAGCGGTTCCTCTGCTTCAAGTGCTCCAGGCGTCCCCGAGCACGTCCTCCTCAGAGGAGGGGTGCATCGTGCTGCCCAGGGCTCCCAGGCTGCTGGGGTGGGGCTGGGAGGTCTCACTGAGAAGGTCTTGCCCCACAAGAGCCACCTGCCGGACGCAGAGACCCCCAGAACGCCCTGGGGGTGGTAAAATGCCCGTAGAATGTTTGTATCCAGTATTTTCTGAAACATGCTGTCATTAACCTCCAATATCCCCAGGCCACCTTCGTGCCTCCTAGATGCTTAGTTCTTGAACCTTGTCTGTTCACAGATATGATTGAATTTCCTGTAAGGAGAAAAGGGTGAAATTACACAAGAAGTATTCAAGCAAGTCGGTCCTGTAGTCACAAGCTGAAAGAACCTGATGAGAGGCTGACTGTGCACAAGGGGCAGCATGCAGTAGCATATTTTTAGTACCATCAAAGAAATCACCCCAAGGCAGGCTTCTTTTTCCTTTTTAAATTTTCAAAGTCAGATATTTTAGATAATTTTCTCAGAAGAGATTCAGAGCTCCCAAACCTCCTCAGGGCCACCCTGCAGGACCGACACATTGGCCTGCTGGCTACGGCACACCGCCTCCCTTTGTGAAGACAAGCACACCTTCACTATCCTTGTGTTTTTATTAAGATGGGCTGGTTACTAGTTGTTATTTCTTTCCCTATAGCGAAATGGTCTCCTGTACACTGTCTATTGTCAAATACAAAACAAGGTTTTTCTTCCATAGAATCAGTCCTTGAGTAAAGGCCACACTCTCAGTGGCTCTGACTTGAACCACAAATGACTGGGGATCAGAATGGCCTCAAGCAGCATCTGTCACTGACTTACGTTATCACCTGGCCCACAGTCTGAAAGAGGAGGTGGACTTACACCTATGGACGACCCCACCTGGAGATCCACATCAGTAAATGAGAGCAATCAGACACCTGCTCATGGCACCAAAGACAGACCCAGGGCAGCACAGGCTGGAGGCTCAGCTCTCAGCGACCACAGCCGCAGGTTCAGAGTGCTAACCCTCTGGGGTGTCAGCAGGGAATGACAGCTGCTTTCTGCAAACACTTTAGGACGTGAGAATAGGGTTTTAAAACAATCAATAGTACTATTTCCTATGCCCCGTGACTGTATACAAATAAAATGACAAAAACCACTCTATTTACAAGTAAATAATTAACTAGTTCATAAACATCCCCAAAAGCTTGGGCTGAGGTATCAACTCAGCCCAAGCACATAAAGAAAAAAGTCACTTTTCTGTTAGGAAAAGGGGTGTGTGTCTCTCCGTAGGGTGTCCATATGACACCCCTTCCCCAGCCCTGAGGACCTGTGCCAACACTCGGGCCCCCGGCCATCAGAGCGCATCTCACTCACATTGCATGGTGGGCCTTCACCTGAGTGCGGCAGTTGCGCCCCCAATAGCAATCAGGACGGGATGTTACAGCCACTAGGAAGAGAAAACAGGACGCGTGTAATGGACATTACGCTCACAAGCTCAGCCATCTGAATTTAAAGACTCAAAGGGAGACACAGCAGCAGAAAGGCATTTTGTCACGCTTTATAACTCGTTTCCTTGGCCTGTTCATATTTCAGGAAAGGAAAAATCCCAATTAAAATTATTTAATTGGAAACCCAATTTGGAGGGAATCCCTAGGTGGCTCAGCAGTTTAGTGCCTGCCTTCGGCCCAGGCCATGATCTTGGAGTCCCCGGATTGAGTCCCACGTTGGGCTTCCTGTGTGGAGCCTGCTTCTCCCTCTGCCTGTGTCTCTGCCTCTCTCTTTCTCTGTCTTTCATGAATAAATAAATAAAATCTTTAAAAAAAAAAAAAGAAAGAAAGAAAGAAAGAAAGAAAGAAAGAAAGAAAGAAAGAAAGAAAGAAAGAAAGAAAGAAAGAAAGAAACCCAATTTGGAGCACCTGGGGGGCTCAGTTGGCGAAGCCTCTGCTTTCGGCTTGGGTCATGATCTTGGGGTCCTGGGTATCGAGCCCCATGTCGGGCTCCCTACTCAGAGGGGAGTCCGTTTCTCCCTCTCCATCTGCCCCTTCTCCCCCCATGCTCTTTCATTATGTCTTCTCTCAAATGAATAAATAAAATCTTTAATAAAGGGTGCCTGGGTGGCTCAGTGGTTGAGCATCTGCCTTTGGCTGAGGTCACGATCCGGAGGTCCTGGGATGGAGTCCCACACTGGGCTCCCCATGGGGAGCCTGCTACTCCCTCTGCCTGTGTCTCTGCCTCTCTCTCTCTCGCTCTCACGCATAAATAAATAAAATCTTTATTTTTTTTATTTTTTATATAAAATCTTTAAAAAACCCACACAATTTAAGAAATAAAGACTACAACAGCTGTTTATAGGTCATTTTTATGAATCTTGTTTTGGAAGTCCACATCTTGGCAGACAGGCCCAGAACTTGAGCTGACCCTGGGTCGAGTATGGCTGGAAATAAGCACGGCCCCTTGGGATGCCCGGAGTGCTCAGTGGTTGAGCACCTGCCTTCGGCTCAGTGCATGATCCCGGAATCCTGGGATCGAGTCCCATATCAGGCTTCCCACAGGGAGTCAGCTTCTCCTTCTGCCTGTGTCTCTGCCTCTCTCTGTGTCTCTCATGAATAAATAACATCTTAAAAAAAAAAAGTAAACAACAAAAAAAATAAGCACGGCCCCTACGCAGCCTATCTCTCCAGGTTTGTGCCTGCTGAGGCAGACCTGTGCACCAAGAACACAGAGCAAAGGCGGAGTATCTATGATGTGAAGGAACATAGGAGCCAGTCTAGGCAGAACTGAGTTGGGGGTGAGGGGGCTTCCTTACCTGGCAACTCAGAAGCAGGGATGTTCTGCCGATACTGGTAGGTCAGCTCTCGGAAGCTCCGCAGGCCACAGCAGTAACACAGCACGGTGTTCCCCGTGATTCTGTAATCTGAAAGGAAAACAGCCTCATGTGGGCATGCCGGTCAGCACATGGCATCACGTTTCCAGAACAGTAGAACAGCAATGCCTTTGCAAAGTAGTGGGAAACCAGAGAACCAATCCACACATGGGGCAGAGACAATGGGCCAGACATTTGGAAAACAAGAATAAAACCCACTTATTTCCTCACAGCAGAATATTTCCACTTGGATAAAGATTCAAATATTTTAAAAATTAAAAAAAAGTACTAAGAGGAATGATTTTTAAGACTTTATTTATTTATTCATGAGAGACACACACAGAGAAGCAGAGACACAGGCAGAGGGAGAAGCAGATCCCTGTGGGGAGCCCGAAGTGGGACTCGATCCCAGAACCTCGGGATCACGACCTAAGCCAAAGGCAGATGCTCAACAGCTGAGCCACCCAGGCATCCCAAGAGGAATAAATATTATTTTTCTCTTGAGTTATTTCTAATTATGTCTCATAACAGAACATAAAGACTCCTAACTCTGGGAAACGAAGTAGGGGTGGTGGAAGGGGAGGAGGGCGGGGGGTGCGGGTGAATGGGTGACAGGCACTGAGGGGGGCACTTGACAGGATGAGCACTGGGTGTTATTCTGTATGTTGGTAAATTGAACACCAATAAAAAGTAAATTCATTATTAAAAAAATAATTATGTCTCATAAACCAAACAGCATGCAGGAAAGGACCTGCAAATCTGACTGCCTATAACTTAACACAATGGAAACATATCCATCAAAAGTAAAATAATAGTAAGTTAGTGGAAAACACCTTTACAACACAAATGACAACCATTTGCACCTACAAAGGTATCCTACGAACCTATACTCCCAAATCCAGAGAGCCTAACATGGGCCATGATCACAGATAAGCCAGTGAACCATGACACACAAAGATCTTATATTCTGTAAATGTTCCAACATGGGGAGACAAAAACGATACATCCAGTAAGCCTGTTCGTATTTACAAGACCCGCCAGCCAGTATGGACTTAAGAAGATACTGGTCTTCGCACCTGAGGCATGTCCTTAGGCAGGAGAGTTACTATGGCCAAGTCTCAACTGTGCATACCACTGTCCTCATTTATCCTAATGGAACAATTTCCCAAACCTACCCTACTGCATGGTCACTCAGGAGCTGCAGTGCTGATTCAGACAGTGGAAAGTGGAAAATCCCTTAAATATCCCATTTTGAACTGGCTAAAAAAAAAACATAATACTATGTAATAAAAATCAAGGAACAGATCTTCATTGACACAGAAAAGATCCAAGATATACTGCTGAACAAACAGCAGGCCATAACACGGCACACATGGTAGGGTTTCATTGACGAGGACGGTGTGCATACATGGGCAGGTGCACAGGCCACGCAAGCATCACCACTGGGTACTCAGGTGGAGGGACTGCCAGTCATTTTCACTTTATCCTTTGTACCTCTGTCACTCACACATCTTTGTGAGCCATGTCAGCTTTACAGACACATTAAAAAACTCATGGAGTTCAGGCTCTGATGATAGGTCTGGGCAGTCCCAGGGCTACTGCAGCAGAGAACACCCGAGACACTTGTGAGAATGTGTCCATAAGACAGAAACTGCTTAGAACAATTCCCAGCGACTTCTAAAGTCTTTCACGATAATGTATGTTTTAGGAAAAAAAAAAAAAAGTCATTCGGGGCACCTGGGTGGCCCTGTGGGTTGAACATTTGACTCTAGATTTTGGTTCAGGTCGTGATCTCAGGGTTGTGGGATGGAGCCCCACATTGGGCTCTATGATCATTGGGGAGTCTGCTGGAGATCTCTTCCTTCCTCCCTCTCCCTCCCTCTGTACTCCTCCCCGAACACACATGTGCTCCTTCCCTCCCTCTCAAATAAATAAATAAAATCTTTAAAAAACAAAAAGGCATCTGCTAAATTTTCTGCAGCTCCCTCCCTCAGTGACAAATCACATTTCACAATGTGATACCGGATGCCCTGAGAGGCAGGGCAAGCCTGCACTAAGTCACCAACACAGCAAGTGAGAAGCCAATGAGGACCCTGAGTGCTTGGGAACAACCAGTCTCAGAATCTCCATGCAGCGCCAACAGATGGTGGAGTCTGGGTCTCTTCTGCTGTGCCCCTCCTTCCCCCATGGCAGAAAAGATACTGGAATGGATCATGTGGGCTCAACTAACTTTAAAAAAAAAACCCAAAAGTACTAGCACTTTCTGTCTGCCTCTGTCAGGCTGCGCAGGGGGGAAGGCTGTGCCTGTGGAAGGCAGCTGGGCAAGAGCAGCCCAGTTCCGCCTGGCAGGTTCTACTGCTTCACAGGAGGCCAAGGCATCACCTCTAGAGAGAGGAAAGCAAGTGCAATGATGCTTACCAGATAGTAAAAACGCTCCCCTCTGCAAAGCCACCAGACTTTCTGTCAACATATTTTTCCACGTCAAACCCCTGGTTGCCAGATAATTCTGTGATTAGGAAGAAGGGAAATCTTAGATACTAGTTTGGAAAAAGAAACACTAAAATGACAAGAAGGCAAACGTTTCATAAAAGGTCCTTGAAATGGGTAACACCACAGCACAAGTAAGTTAAACATAGCAGCTAAAGGGAGTGCTGTACACAGTTGTAGCGCTCTGCTTCCAAGACCATAGGACACCTGAGACAGCCCAAGGACTAGGATGCCCAAGACTGACAACATGCTCACCATCTAGTTCACAAGGGTCCTCGTCTGAGACACTGTTCAGAACCTCAAAAGGAAAGCTAGCTTCAGATATTTGAACGTGTGAGTTACCACGTTCTCTCTAAAACTCTGCAAAGACATTCCTTGCACAGGAGTGGTGAGACACCCAACCTTGGCCAGAGCAGCCCTTGGGCAGCAACAGATCCACAATCACAGAACGAAGCTGGTTCTGGATCTACATGCTGCCCTCCGGAAACACAGAGTTCTTGGTTCCTCCTGTGAGCATCTATGGGACATCTAACCAGACTGGCTCGTCATGCAGGCGAGAAGGCCCATGGTCTCGCTTGTGCAACAACACGGCACATAAATGGGATAAAGGCATGACACTCGGCCAGGGACGGATGTGCACATTAAACATTGAAATTCTAAGAGCCAGGTCAGCTTCCTAAAACATGGAAAGGAGCATGTCAGAAAGGAGGAAGCCAAAGGCCCTGGTTCCACCAACTGGCCACCCCACTCCCCACCCAGACCCAGGAACTCTCTGGTTGGGGCAAGCAGGCACTGGCACCAAGTCCTACAGATTCATGACATGATGGACATGAAGGAAACCCCTCCACTGGGGAAGATGGGAAAACACAGCAAAGCACCAATGTGGTGCACTAATAAGTTGGCAGTCCTAGAAATAGCCATTAGAACTCTGGAAATCCTTGGGTCCTCTATGCACCTGAGCTCCAGCCACACCTGTTTGGGGCTCCATTACCTTCAGGACGTCTGACTCGTAGTGGTTGTTGCTCAGAACCCCGTCCAGACACCTGTCGCCCAGGTCTAGCTCTGCCAAATGGAGGGAAACAAAGTCATACGTCTTACAGAAAGCATCATCACTGAGGCTAACATAAATACATTTTCTTTCTTACAGAGTCTAGAAAGAACAAAAAGTTCCCGTTTAAAATGAGAACAGGGGACGCCTGGGTGGCTCAGCGGTTGAGCATGCCTTTGGCTCAGGGCATGATCCTGGAATCCCAGGATTGAGCCCCACATTGGGCTTCCTGCAGGGAGCCTCCTTCTTCCTCTGCCTATGTCTCTGCCTCTCTCTGTCTCTCTCATGAATGAATAAATCAAATCTTTAAAAAATAAATAAAAAATAAATAAAATGAGAACAGGTACAACAACTTCCATTCCACTCCCTCCCAACATGGACAGCTCTCTCCTCGGTACTTCAAGGTCTGAACACTGCAGCTAGACCGGGCGTTTTCTGTGCTGGTATCCTTAACGTGTAAGGAAACCCTCCCCGACTGAACTCCATGTCCCCACAGCTGTCCTGTTACTGCCTGGTTTCACATTAGCACAGAGTGACACTTGTATGTCAGGAGGAAGTATGGTCACTAATGTTGGCCTTCCCCAACTCAGGCCACGCTATCCGTCACCGCCCTCAAGTGCACCAGATCAGGCTGAAGCAACTCAGCTGGAGAGCCGGCATTACCACAGAATGGGGCCAGGCAGCCAAGGCAGCCCGCCCGGGCGCAGCCCCAGTACAGGTGGCAGAAAGGCTGAAGGCAAACGGCACCTGCAGGACACAGCACAACGGCCAGTCAGGCCACTTCAGTGAGGAATGAATTCAAATAACCATTCAATAAATGACAAATTCAATTGTAATAGCAATCCCAGAATTGCAAATTAAAACACTGTATTTCACGTATTATATTTAAAAGTGACACATCATAGGGCACCCGCGGGGCTCAGTCAGTTGGCTGTCCGACTCTTGGTTTTGACTCAGGTCACGATGTCAGGGTCATGAAGTCGAGCCCCATGTCAGGCTCTGAGATCAGTGGGGAGTCTGCCTGAGATTCTCTCTCTCCCTCTGCCCACCCACTCTCATGCTTGCACACTCTCTTTTAAATAAACAAATAAAAATCTTAAAACAGAAGTGACACATTATAGAAATATTATGGTCTTGGTGTGGGGACAAATATCAGATGCAGACTTCAGAAAGAGAACCACCCATACATGAAAATGAGGTGTGTGACAGAGTGGGTTATCAACTGATGGCAAAGATGATTATTCAACATGATTGTACACGGACAACCGAGTCTGCAGATGAGAAAACACAGCCACGTCTTTACTTCACACCATGCACCACAGTCAACACTGTCCTGAAACCTGAGCCTGGAAGGATGCACAGGACAGGCTCTGTGGCAGGGAGGTTGCTCAGGAAGGCAGTAAATGCTCACACCCTTACTCACACTGCTGGGGGGCGATGCGGGGGTCCTGCTCACGTTCTGCCCTTCGGTCGGGCATGGGCTGGAAGCAGCAGGTGCATATGGCATGGCTTCCTTGCAGGGCGCACACATAATCCTGGGCTGCAGAACAGACAGGACATTTAGGCAGCACATACTGGCACATGGGCAGAAAGAACCAGTCAGACCTACATGGAGAGGAATGGCGGGAAAGCAAACAAGGAAATAGATCCACAAGAAAACCTGGGGAAAACTCAGACCTGTTTTCTTAAATGGCCAAATGATAGCCAATCATTTAAATGAAACATTTTAAATAGAATGAAAAACAAGCAAAGCGATCTTTCAGTTCAGCAGTCGTAGCAAGATTTCAAAGATCCTTGAAGGTTTTCTACCATTTCCTTAGGCCAGAAAGCACACATCATTAAACAACAAAGCAAGTTCTATATTAATCTTTGTGTCTTCCAAATAAACAAGTGATGGGCCTGGTGGGCATGGTGGACATGGCTGGCTGACCCCACTCTAAGAGTTGTGTCCACAGAGCCCAGGCCCTGCATACTTGATGGCCTCATAGGAGGCTCCATCTGTGCACACACACTTGCTGCAGGCCCCATCCCACTGGGGACTTCCATCTGCAATTTGAAAATGATGGGGTCCACCTGAGGAATGGTAGAGTTGGTTTTGTGACCAGGTGGCTCCAGGTCACAATCCTGGGTCAGTGGTCTCATGACAGGCTCAGACCCACAGCAACTAAGAAACTGGGCCCTGTGGGGCCATGCCTACAGAATGGCCAGGGCCAAAAACATAAGATTCCACCTGTATTCTCTCCCTTTCCTGATGGCATCTGGGGACCCAGCCCATTAGAAGCAGGCAGTGGGGCAGAGCTCAGGTTGGCTCTGATGACACCATGACCCGCTGCTGAAAAGAAGCCAGTCTCTCATTTAAGGGGCCCATGTGTGATGGTCATTTCTGCTCTAGCCAGCAACTCTGGGGTGCCAGCTCCCTGAAGCAAATGTCAGGATCAGGACTGAACTCCTAGGAGTGCCCAGGAGCAGGGTCCATGAGACAAGTCAACTCTCTGGTTTCTTAGCCCAAAACAGAACATGAGAAGCAATGGGGTCTGAGAGGTGGCAAGACCATGGAGGCAGTGACAGGACTGGGATAGGAATGGGGGAGGAGCCAGCAAGAATATAGGCTGTGTCCTGGGCAGTCATGGCAGGACAACAGCAGAGAGGGTGGTGTCTCACCTGTCTTGACACTGGTGGAGGTCGACGGTGCATCCCCAGCAGCCTGTGGTACCCCTGGCTCACTGTTAGGCCCTGGGCAGGGGAGGGCCTGCCCACCCTGCCTCCGGTACTCAGGGCACTGCCTGCATACAATGTACGGCTGGCTGCAAGAAAAGCACACAAACCCCTCGATTGTGGGGAAGCACACGGTGGGTGATGGCGACAATGCCCCTAGCCCTTATGACAAGACGAGATCCAGATCCCCAGACTAGAGGCATCTTCTCTGCTCACAGAGAAGTCCTACCCCAGTCCTATCCTAGTGCCTCACACCTCAGCTCTGCACCATCTGCTGCCACCCAGTGTATATGAGGGGCAAGCATGGCATGCCCCACTGGGCACCCAGTGCTCATCCTGGAAGAATAGCACTTGGAGGACTCTGTTCCTTGCCACCTGCTGGCTCCCCTCTGCTGTAAGGATTCCAGACTACCTCATCCCTCTTGGCAGCTCCTAACATATGGAGACTTGTCCTGCCCACTCCTGCTGCTTTGGCATAGCATCCCCCAGAGCATGGCCACTCAGTCCCCACACGGGGCTAGATACACACTCACAGGTTCAATGCTGGGTGAGCTGTGGATGACATCCAGAAGCACACCCAGCTTGCCAAGTGCACTCAGGATTCACCCTGGGCCCCTAAATGTGCCATGGTCGAATGTTGCTGTTCTCTAGGGGCCTTCCAACCTGCCGCAGGAGCCCTGCCCCACTAACTTTATGCACTTCAGTTGAGCTTTCAAAAAAGATAGTTGGTAAAATGGAATCCATAGGAAAAATACAGACTCTTCCCTCACTTGAGCCAGAGAGCAGCTTCCTGAGCCCACCTCTAATGGCAAGAGCCAGCAAAGGAAGAGTAAGGCCCAACTAACACCACTGGTGAGAAGACACTCAACTTCAGTTAGGAACGAGACAGCTGTTATCTCAGGCAACATCAAGTGTGGCCAGGGGTTCCTGACATGCCTCCACAACCCCAGGAAGGCCAGCATTCCATGATGGGCATGGAATGACCCAAGTGCCAGGTCCAGCCCTCTGACCTGACCATTCCACATCCACTCCGCTGGTAGGTACTGTAGCATGGCTTCACAAGTCAGAGTTTTAGAAACACCACAATCCCATCTGTAGAGGAATACTGTGGCTACGTATATGAGTGGCTGGAAGGATACACAAAGAAGTGTTCATGCTCAAGCGATTTTTGATTTCTTCATTTTGCTTGACCACTATTTGTAAATTTTACAAAAAGAAACAAAAAGATAATAAATTTGGAAAATTTGATTTTTGTCTTTCTAAACATGATGCTCCATCTAAAACTCAAGTCTATGGATTTCTGAGTCAGGAAACACCAGCATTTTACAGCAGATAAAATAAGGTCTCCTAGAATTGCATCCTCTTGGCCAGGTGGCCATGGCTTCTCTACAGTAACATCCTGACAACTGAGGATAATGCAACTTATGCCATAGGACTCAACGGTCACTAGATGAGCTACAGAGTAAATGCACTTATGTGGGGCAAAGAACATGTCAAATTGTGACGTTGTCATAGCCAGTGAATCACAGCACCCGACGAGGTGTCAGCAAATAACAGTGTGGGTTGTGGTGGCCATTGTTTTCTAACAGACATCAGCGTCAAACCATTCATTAGCTGCTATACCTGAAACTCAAAGGGTACTGTATATCAATTACACTTCAAAACAGCTGGAAATAAATACAGAAAAGTAACAGCAAAAAATAAATACTGCATGTATACCTGAAGGGGGGGGGGGTTACTGCAGGAGGCATGGGGACAGATACCACCCAGTCACCCGAGTGGGTGGCCGTCCTTGGCTGGCTCAGACTCCATGCTGCCTGTTCAGCTCCCTGCCCCCGAGAACCAGGCAGAGGCTCACCTAACATCGGATGATTCACTGTCCACATCTGACAGCTCCAGCAGATCTTCCGAACTGCCCTCCTCATCAGAGAAAGACCTTCTGACCTTGGGTTGCAACATGTCTTGAGTGATCTTGTTCCTGGCAGCCATGCTCCGCACATCTTCCTCGCTGCGACTCTTGTCTGGAATGCAAAGGCCACAGCTCTACTAGCTGAGGAGCCCCTGGAGACACAGCCATGGTCTCTAGGAGCTAGGCGGGCTCCCCACTTGCCTGGGTGCTGGAGAAGGTAGGCCTCCACCAGGTTGTTCAGGATGTGGTTTTTACAGATCCTCTCGACTGGACAGCGGCAGGTGGGACACCAGGTAGAACGCTCCATCCAGCCTGAGTAGCAGGCTGCACAGAAGGTGTGCATGCAGGGCTGCAGGCTGAGGGCACAAGGACAAGTCTGCAGACACTCCTGCAGAGCACTCGCAGATGGAGCATCTGTCTGCCAGGCCATAGCAGCAGCCCCCAGACACCAGGGCACATGGGGCATGGCCTGTGTGGAGCATGAGAAGCAGGGACCCCAGTTCATACTGTCTTTGCCCAGAGCAGGATGTGGCCTCACTCAGGCTGAGGGTTGGTCACAAAACATAAAAGTGAGCAAATCACCCTCCCACAAAGCTCACTTAACTCCACAGAGCCTGGAAGCCCTGCTTCTCAGGGTGCTCTGCTCCTTGCATATGGCACCCATCGCTGGCTGCATCTGTGTCCTCAGCTGATAAGCTAGGAATGCCACCTGCCTTCCACACCGCACGTGAGAAGAGCTTCCACCTAAACGACCCTAACTTGGTCCTTGCTAATGAAAAGAAATGCCAATCTGTGCTGCAGGAAGGACATTAGAGCAGGCAATAACTCCAGGAATATGAGGAGCATGGACACTGAGTGTGGAAAAGGCCTGTGTTGAAGTGGAAATTTGGACAGGCTCCCACAGAGAAGCAAGGAGAGGGCGTTCCCTAGACTGCTCCAGGGATCCTCATTCTGGGCCTTTTCCTAGGAAAGCTCTGGACAGCTCTTCTGTTCTACTTGGCTCAGATGGGACCAGTGTCGACTGAGATCATCACCGCATCAACCCCACGTACTCTCCTACAGCCTTGGCTACAAGGGTCAGGTGTTTGGCTTGTTGGCCACACAAGTAAAATGCCATGAGTAAGCTCTGCAGAGTGGAACCTGACAGGACCCAGAGGCTCGATTCCCCACGGCTGCTCCCCCCATCTCCCATCCTCCTGCGACATACGGCACGCATACCTCACACAATCATGCAGCAGGTCCTGGCAGATGATGCATGTGAGTGTCTCCTCCATCTTGTCAGGCTTCACAGCCTCAGATCTAACATTCCCAAGGGTGGTGTGGGTGTCTCTACACTGGTCTGCAACCAAGAACTGCAGGGTCAGGTCAGGGTCCCCACCTGTGAGAGAAACAGATGCGTTCTGACCACCTGTTTTATGAACACCTTGACCTAAGGAGAGAAGACAGAGCTCTCCCCAGTGTTTGTATTTTAAAGGGCGTTTTTAAGATGGCCTAAAAGAAGTCTTATATTCCAATATATTTTAGTTTTGTTTTAGGGAGGCCTGGTTAGCTCAGTGGTTGAGTGTCTGCCTTTGGCTCAGGGCATGATCCTGGGGTCCTGGGATCGAGTCCCACATCGAACTCCCCACAGGGAACCTGCTTCTCCCTCTACTTATATCTCTGCCTATTCTCTGTGTGTCTCTCTTGAATAAATAAAATCTTTAAAGAAAAAAAATTTTGTTTTAGAACAGTTAATGACACAAAAAAGAGGCACTCAGGATACATGCTTAAAAAATAAAGACCATTTATCCCCCAGTATATTTGTGTAATGTCATTTTTTGTTTAAACAAAAAACGTGATTTGTATACACATGGGAAAGTACACTCTTATGGTACCAGGAGTTGTGGATTTTTTTCCTTTTCTTCTGGTGGTGTTCTAGAGTGCTCCTGTGTTGCTAACTACAGATTAATTTTTATTTTTAATTAAAGAAATACTTAAACACAATTTACAAAGTCAAATATTTAAAAGAAAACAAAAGTAGCAGCCCTCTGCCTTGAACTACACTCCTCTGAGTTAACATTTGTGTTTTTAGCTACTTTTCCTGGTAAGGACCTCTGTGTTTCTGACTGTGATGCTATGTTTAGGTTGATTGATTTTAATTTTTTTTCTCTTTTTAAAAATATTTTATTTATCCATTCATGAGAGACACAGATGCAGAGACATAGGCAGTATCTTCCCAGAGCCTCCCAGTCTTACTGCTCCAATCTGCGTGCTGCTCTCAGGCCTATGGCACAGCCAGTGCCCCACCAAACATTCCCAAGTGTTTTTTACAATCATTTTAACTTAGACTTTTTAAGTGAAGATTTTTCTCTAAATAACCTTTACGAGGAGGTTAAAACTATCACTTGAAAGACAACTTTTTTTTTTTTAAGTTTATTTTTTAGTAAGATCTATACCCAATGTAGGGCTGGAATCCATGACTCCAAGATCAAGAGTCACAGGCTCCTCTGAGCCAGCCAGGTACCCTCAAAGACAACATATTTAAAAATAGATTTTCATATCAGGACAGAACTGGAACTTGGAATGCACTGCTTCCAGATCATGAGCATAAACTGACAGTAAACATTGTTCAATACTAATGATGTAAAGACGAAAGAAAAGGCTCAGATTTCCATTCCAAAAAAGCTGAGGCACCACAGGTCTGTGCCTGAGACACATCCCCATGCTTCTTCAGAAGGGGAGGCTCCAATGGGAGCAGCTCAAACTGTCCCACTAGGGCCCTATGCACTCCCCCAAGGGCCAGAGACACACAGAAACCTAAGACTCTGACCTCCTTTCATTTTCTTCCTGATGGGCTCCAAATCCTCCTGATCCTGGGGTTCCGACAGAGAAAAGGATGCATCCTCTCTGTCTGGCAGAGCTGAAGGAAAGATGGGGATTTCATCACTTGCCACAGATGGACCACACTCTTTTGGGGAGATGTATGCATCTCTGGAAGCTGTGAGAGGGACAAACAAAAGAGGTTCTGTTTCATCCACCCTAGAAGGAGAGAGCAGGCAGGTGAAGCACCAGATTCAAGCCAGGTCTAGGTAATCCAAGGTGCCGTATATTCTCCATAATACATACTCACTAGAAATATTCAACTACATTTTTTAGAAGATTTTTAATTTATTTATTCATGAAACACAAGGAGAAAGGAAAAGACAAAAGCAGAGGGAGAACCAGGCTCCCTGCAGGGAGCCTGATGTGGGACTGGATCCCAGGATCCAGGATCACAATGTGAGCCAAAGGCAGATGTTTAATCACTGAGTGACCTAGGTGCTCCTAGACTCATCGATTTAAACAAGCCCAGCTTTTTTTTTTTTTTTTTTTTATTTATTTATTTGTTTATGATAGTCACAGAGAGATAGAGAGAGAGGCAGAGACATAGGCAGAGGGAGAAGCAGGCTCCATGCACCAGGAGCCCGACGTGGGATTCGATTCTGGGTCTCCAGGATCGCGCCCTGGGCCAAAGGCAGGCGCCAAACCGCTGCGCCACCCAGGGATCCCCAAGCCCAGCTTTTAACTGGGCTTAATAACCTTTATCACAATAAAGCCCTAGTTTATAATACTTTAGTACAATCCACATGCAGTCTGTAATATTCAAATGGTAAGTGTTATTTTGAAAAGAGAAGAAACTGCCATATGGCAGCCAAAAGAGAAAGGTTAGAATTCTCTGGGGAGCAAATGAGCTTATAGGAAGAGACAGCTTCCAGGGCTGGCTCCTAGCTCTGGTCCTCACTCCCACTGTGGGGGGGCCTTCCCTGCTCAGTGGAGTGTCTCACTTCAGAATGAAGACTATGATGATGGTACCTCTCCAACAGACCCATCATGAGGATTCACTTAAAACTTATAAAGCACTTGGCACCCAATCTCACATTTAGCAGTCTGGTTATTCTCTTAGTAGGTTTAAACTGAGAGAGGCACATAGAAAAATTTCCCGGCCTTTCCAAGGTTGGAGCTAGGCTTTCCATCTGAACAATTTGTTTACAGCAAAATTTCTTCTATTTATGATTTTATTTTTTTAGTTGCACAGTATATAAATACATTGTCCTCTTACAATAAAATTAACAATTGTATGTGTCTACACACACATTGCATCTTCTTCATCTATCCATCCATCACTGGACACTCAGCTTCCCCTTTCTTTGCATCCTCACCAACACTTGGTATCCCTAGTCTTTTTTGATGCTGGCTATTCTAACAGGTATGAGGTGATGCCTCATTGTGGTTTCCTTTAATGAAGTTAGAACATTATCAAAAAACTAAAAACCAAAAAAAAAAAAAAAAAAACTAAAAACCAAATGTGCAAAAATGGAAGCAGTGGTTGCTTGCTTTCTCTCTCTCTCTCAAATAAATAAAATCCCCCCCCAAAGATTTTATTTATTTATTTGACATAGAGAGAGAGCACAAGCAGGGGGAGCAAGTGAGGAAGAAGAAGCAGGCTCCCCACTGAGCAGGGAGCACAAGGTGGGGCTCATGACCCAACCCAAAGGCAGATTCTTCACTGAGCCACCCAGGCGCCCCTCAAATAAACAAAATCTTTAAAATAAAGAGCGGGGGAAGTATTCTAGGGATTAGTAAGAGTTCTCGAAACTAGGTGAAAAAGAAACTTCACTGAAGAACATCAAAGAGCTTAATAAACAGGGTAAAACACCACTATCCTGGGTATTGTAAAAATGTCAATTCTCTCCAATCAAAATCTCAAAAAAGACTTTTTTTTTTAACTTAAAAAGATAATCCCAAGGAGAATCTGGAAGCAAAATACAGAAGAATAGCTAAGAAAGTGAACTAAAATATGAACATACATAATATGATCTAATTCACAAAACATATAAACACATATGTTCTACACTCTAACAACACCAACAAGGGAATGTTAAGGGCACATAGCACCTAGAGTCTGAATTTTCTCTAGAGACCAAGGAGGAAGGTAAAGAAGGTAAAGAATGATGCCGTAAGGACCAGTACATGTAAAACTAGTTGTTGGATTTTTTTTTTTTTTTTTTTTTTTAGTATTTATTCATTTAGAGAGAGTGCACACACAAGCAGGGGACAGGCAGGAGAGGAAAAATCTCAAGCAGGTTCCAACTCCCCGCTGAGCAGGGCACAGCCCGACATGGGGCTCAACCCTACCACCCCAAGACCATGACCCGAGCTGAAATCCAGAGTTGGCTGCTCAACAACAGAGCCACGCATTAAGAGCCTAAAACTGGCTTTAAATGATGTGTTATTCTGGATGAGTCTTGAAAACATTATGCTGAGTAAAAGCAGCAGAAACAAAAGGCCACAGAGTATATGATTCCATGTGTAAGAAATGACCAGAAGAGGCAAATCAGAGACACAGAAGGAAGGTTAGTGGTTACTGGGGACAAAGGAATGACTGCTGATGGGTGTGGGTCTCCTTTTGGGGTGATGAAAACATATGGGAACTACAGAGTGGTGATGAATGCACAACACAATGAATACAGTAAAATCCACTGAAGTGCACACTTGAACTGGGTGATTGTTATGGCATGCAAATTATATCCCAATAAAACTACCAGAAACACCATGTACTATCATCTCTGATTTTTAGCACTTCTATTTGGGATGCAACAAGACATCTACTACAGAAATCTTGCTACTGAGAACCTGATGCCTGATGCCACCTCCACCTTCCTGAGTAGTTTATCTGTCTTCTCTGTAGCAACACAGGTCAGAATTAGTGGCCACAAAGCAATGCAGCTACCACCAAAAGGTTCCTGTCTCACCAGAACTGGAGGAAGGTGCTTGCCCTGCAGAGGTGGGCTCCATGGAAGAGGTAGAAGCCGTGGGGAAGAGGTCTGATGTGGACGTTGATGGCTGTGGTTCCTCAAAGCACGCCTGAGTGGTGGGCGATGACGGCAGGACCTGGGGGTCGTCACCTTGCCCTGCACCTGAGGTATCTTTGGTCACACGGAACACATTCTCTTTATTGGCTTCTGCAAGCACAGAAAAAGAAGAATGAGCACACAATCAGGGCTCAGGTGGAACACCACTACCGTGGGCAAGACATTCCAGCAAGAATCAAGAGCCCTTACTATGTACCCACTTGGTTACGGTCTCACTTACCAAAGGAGTCTTGTGTGATGTCCTGCTTCTCATTTAAAGATTCATAGAGGTATGCCACATCTAAAAGGAAATTAACCAAATCAGAACAGAGTCCCCAGGCACCAGCTGGAACTCACTTCCCTCTTTTGTTCCTGTCACTTCAGTCCCCTTACTTACCAGCTAGTAACAACATTAAGCAGTTTAAGGGATTTCAAAACAAGTGACCCAAAATATCTTAACAAACTTTAAAATAAATAGGCTTCAGGAAAAAATTTCTGGAGCCAGGAAGCAGTCTAGGGAGGGCAAAAACAATGAATAGGTGATGAATTTGTGTTTTGCTGGCATTTCTAACTAACAGAAGGAGCAAACAAAAGATCTTGCCACGTGGCCAATGACTGGCTTTGTCTACACTTAAAACAATCTGAGAAATCTGCCTCCTTCTTCCACTTTGTAGGTAACCTTCAAAAGACTCCCCCAACGCTCCTTGTCCTATATCATTCTTCTCTCCCAAACACAGAACAACCGCTGGCCTCCAACCCCTCTTCTAGATCTTAATCCCCATAACTCAGGTTTCTTCTATGTAACCTAACCCATCCCTGTTCACTTCTGCCATTCTGAGGTGTGTGGCTCATGACTTTGGTGGGATTTCTGGAGAATAACTGGGACTCAGACTGTTAAGGTCAATGCTCCCATTCTTCAAGAGACATGAGTCACACCAAGAATCTAATCTACATCAACAACAAAGAAAATGTAGGTAACATTAACATATCTAAGGGAAATACCTGCTTCAGCAGACTCCCTTTCAACCACGCTTCCTACCTGTAACAGGACTTCCCCGTCAAGCACCACCCATGTGTCCACCCTGTCCATTCCCTTTCTCTTACTGTGTTCTGGCTCATTCTTCCTGTACACCAAGTAGATGACATCCCCCGTCTGCAAAGGGCAGGTCTGCTTCTTAACAACCTTCAGCTTGTTAATTACTGTTCCATTGGTGCTGTAGAGACAACAGAATTGCAACTTATCCTAAAATTTTCTTTTTCTATCACCACTAGGAAAACAGTTCAATATTACTGCTTTGAAAATGATAAAACGTTCATAAGAATGATGTAAATATTTAAGGAACCATATATGCCAGTGCCATCCTATAATTCTCCTGAGAAAATGCTTGCCTGTTGCCACCTTACTAACAGTCAAACCAGCAACCAATCTTATCAACATGTCTGCTTTTCCCAATGCCATGTTCTCCTCCATCTGCCTCCTGGTGGACCCTTGGACTTCTTTTATTTATTTATTTATTTATGATAGTCACAGAGAGAGAGAGAGAGAGAGAGAGAGAGAGAGAGAGGCGCAGAGACACAGGCAGAGGGAGAAGCAGGCTCCATGCACCGGGAGCCCGATGTGGGATTCGATCCCGGGTCTCCAGGATCGCGCCCTGGGCCAAAGGCAGGCGCCAAACCGCTGCGCCACCCAGGGATCCTGACCCTTGGACTTCTATGAGCAGCTCTGATTTCAGCTTCTCTCCTACATCTGCAATTCGCTATGTCCACAGATTTACCACTCCCTCCAGAAGTTACGACTGAGTCAGCTCATTCCTCAAATGAGCACTGACACTTAAGAGGATGGTTCCACCAAGGGGCGCCTGGTTGGCTTAGTCGGTTAAGCGTCTGACTCAGTCTCGGCTCAGATCTTGCTCCTAAATTCAAGCCCCACACTGTGCATGGAGCCTACCTAAAAAAGAGAGACAGACAGACAGACACAGAGACAAAGAGACAGGTTCTAGGTAGAAGCAAATAAATGCCAGGCTACAGACTAGAAGATGGCATGGCCCCCTTGCTGGGACGTCTCTCCAATTAGGGAGCACACTGCCAGGTGGAAGAGGCACAAACTGCCAAGGGGACAGACAGGAGCCCAAGTCAGACGGGAGAGGGAATGCTTCCTTGAAGAGGGACTCCTGAGTAGATATCTGAAAGAAAATCATTAATGGACGAAGTGCACACTGCAGGCATGGTGAATAGCGTACAAGACAAGAACTCAGCAAGCAAGCAAACTAACCCACTTTCAGGCATTCAAACCACCCAAGCTTAACTCTACAGCTTCACTCCCAAGGCCTCCAGTGGGGAAGAGGCCTTATATTTTACATTTGAGCAGACGTCCACTACTTGAGTGTTTGGTAAAGGGCCAGAAAGTAAATAGTTTAGGCTGTATGATTGATCACACAGTCTGTATCCCAACTACTCAGCTCTGCCACTATCACAGGAAAAGCAGCCATAGACAGGACCCAATCAAGGGGCTATAGCTGTGTCCCAATGAGACTTCACTTGCAAAAGCTGGTGGCACTACCCAATACAGCCAGGGCCTCTGCCACTAGGCTTCTCCTCACGATCCATTCTTGTGTTCTTTCTACCCAAAAAAGTCTGATTTTACACTTCTGCTTAAACCCCCTTGATTACTTCTCATTGCTCTCAGGCTAACGTCTCCAAACTCCCTAGAGTGGACAGCAGGGCCTTTCTACTCCAGTCTACTGTCTGGCTCTGCACTCACTACTTACCGTGAGCATGCAGGGCCTGCTTGTGCCTCAGTACCTGTAGTTCCTTCTGCCTGGAACAACCCCGCCTCCAGCCAGTTCAGCCAAGGAATGCAGTGGCTGCTAGAAGCTGGCAACGGCAGGGAACGGATTCTCCCCTAGAGTCTCTAGAAGGAGCCAGCCATGCTGACAATTTGATTTTAGTCCAATGAGAGCTGAGTTAGACTTTGTATCTTGAGCATTAAAAGATCATAGCTATGTGCTATTTTAAGCCACTAAGTTTGTGATAATTTGTTACAAGAGCCACAGGAAACTAAAACTGTCATATGGCCAGTACTGGAAAGCCAGGACCTGCTGCAGGACAGCTCTAGAACTACGGCTACATTATTCTACAGTAGGCTGAGAAATGAACTTAAGCTGTTACCTATTAGAAGAGAGGCAAGAAGCATCATTTCTTCCTTTAAATTTTACATTTTTTCTTTCTTTTCTAGTATTTTTTTTTTAAGATTTTATTTATTTATTCATGAAAGACAGATGGGGGGGGGGGCAGAGACACAGGCAGAGGGAGAAACAGGCTCCATGCAGGGAGCCCGACGTGGGACTCGATCCCGGGTCTCCAGGATCATGCACTGGGCTGAAGGCAGGTGCTAAACCGCTGAGCCACCCAGGGATTCCCAACATCATTTCTTCCTAATAAACCTAATTCTTAGTGATCAATCCCTACAACTGTCAGTTACCAAATAATCTCATAGCACTTGACCTTTACAAAAATAAAAATTCATCTGATAGAAAAAGCATACTCTTAACATATTGCTGGAAGCCTATCTGCCACTAGGTTTAAAATAGGCACATTCTTTTTTTTTTTTAGATTTTATTTATTTATTCATGAGAGACACAGAGAGGTGGGGGAGGGGGCGGGCAGATACATAGGCAGAGGGAGGGAGACGCAGGCTCCATGCAGGGAGCCCAATATGGGACTCGATCCCAGGACTCCAGGATCATGCCCCGGGCCAAAGGCAGGCACCAAACCGCTGAGCCACCCGGGAGCCCAAAATAGGCACATTCTGACACAGCATTCCTTCCTATAAACTTATCCCAAGAAAATAATCAGACATGAATGCAAAGTGTTTCAGAAGAGAATAATTGCAGTATCATTCACAATAAAAAAGTCAAAATAGTAAGTTTTCATCAGTACAGGAGTTGACAGGTAAGTTATTATATAATAATAATGAAAAAGACAAAATGAATGGTGGATACACTGACACACAAGCACTCTGTAAATAAAAGTGAAAAAAGACAAAGTGTCTAGCAAAACTAAAATATATACATATGTATTTTCTAAAGCATAAGTGGGATTTAAGAAAGCTTTTCACTTTTATAATACCACTTTTGTTGTATAACAATTTTTTAAAAAGAAAAGATTTTATTGCAGACAGAAAGAGCACATGTGTAAGCACCCGTGAACAGGGAGGAGAAGCAGACTCCCTGCTGTGCAGAAAGCCTGATGAGGGGCTCTATCCTGGGACCCTGGGTTCATGACCTGAACTGAAAGCATCTTGGTCAACCAGTTGAGCCACCCAGGCACCTCCAGAAAAAAAATTTTTTTTTATTTGGAGGAAAGAAGTCTAACTTGAATAGGTTTGCAACTTTTAGGTTATCACTGTCTTTTTAATTTTATTTTTTCAGAGATATATTTTTTTAAATCTTAAATTTATTTTTTATTGGTGTTCAATTTGCCAACATACAGAATAACACCCAGTGCTCATCCCGTCAAGTGCCCCCCTCAGTGCCCATCATCCATTCTCCCCACCACACGCCCTCCTCCCCTTCCACCACCCCTAGTTCATTTTCCAGAGTTAGGAGTCTTTATGTTCTGTCTCCCTTTCTGGTATTTCCTACCCATTTCCTCTCCCTTCCCTTCTATTCCCTTTCACTATTATTTATATTCCCCAAATGAATGAGAACATATAATGTTTGTCCTTCTCCAATTGACTTATTTCACTCAGCATAATACCCTCCAGTTCCATCCACGTTGAAGCAAATAGTGGGTATTTGTCATTTCTAATGGCTGAGGAATATTCCATTGTATACATAAACCACATCTTCTTTATCCATTCATCTTTTGATGGACACCGAGGCTCCTTCCACAGTTTGGCTATTGTGGCCATTGCTGCTAGAAACGTCGGGTGCAGGTGTCCTGGCGTTTCATTGCATCTCTATCTTTGGGGTAAATCCCCAGCAATGCAATTGCTGGGTCGTAGGGCAGATCTATATTTAACTCTTTGAGGAACCTCCACACAGTTTTCCAGAGTGGCTGCACCATTTCACATTCCCACCAACAGTGTAAGAGGGTTCCCTTTTCTCCGCATCCTCTCCAACATTTGTGGTTTCCTGCCTTGTTAATTTTCCCCATTCTCACTAGTGTGAGGTGGTATCTCATTGTGGTTTTGATTTGTATTTCCCTGATGGCAAGTGATGCGGAGCATTTTCTTCAGAGATATTTTTGCTATAATTTGAATATATTCAAGAAAGCTCATAGACATGGAAATGTTATTGGAAACCAGAAAATGCGTTTTCTAGTAACTGGACAGCCTAGTGAACTACTATGTTATAGAAAACAAGCCCTTGTTTCTTCTCTGTAGTCAATGGCTTCAAGAGAAAACAGAAGGGATGCCTGGGTGCCTCAGCGGCTGAGCATCTGCCTTTGGCTCGGGGTGTGATCCTGGAGTCCCGGGATCGAGTCTTGCATCAGGCTCCCTGCATAGAGCCTGCCTCTCCCTCTACCTATGTCTCTGCCTCTCTCTGTCTCTCAAGAATAAATAAATTTTTAAAATATTTAAAAAAGTAAAATTAAAATTAAAAAAAAAAGAGAGAGAGAAAACATAAAAGTTCGGATAGGGGGGCACCTGGCTGGCTCAGTCAGTGAAATGTGCAACTCTTGATCTTGAGGTTGTGAATTTGAGCCCCATGTTGGGTGTGGAGATTACATAAAAACAAAAACAAAAAAAACCTTAAACAAAAAAAAAAGTTCAGAAAGAACTTACCTGGTATCTTCTAGTGACACCTGACCAGATTTTTCATCCACTATAATTTTACAGTGATCTCCAGAGACCAGTTTATTGCCGGGGAATGAAAGGTCACAACCTGTAACAGAGAAAGGATACACATTGGATATGACAATGGGGACTGTGCACAATACTGCCCTTTGCTTAATCAAAGCATGTGGCTTAAAATCAAGACCCATTTTGTATGCACTGTAGGAGACAATACCTAATCAAGCAAGATAGGAAGTAATTTTTTAAAAAACATTTATTTGAGGGATCCCTGGGTGGCACAGCAGTTTGGCGCCTGCCTTTGGCCCAGGGCGCGATCCTGGAGACCCAGGATTGAATCCCACATCGGGCTCCCGGTGCATGGAGCCTGCTTCTCCCTCTGCCTGTGTCTCTGCGCCTCTCTCCTCTCTCTCTCTCTCTGTGACTATCATAAATAAATAAAAAAAAAAATTAAAAAAAATATTTATTTGAGAGAGTGGGGCAAGGGACAGAGTCTCAAACTCTTTGCTAAGCTCGGCCTGATGTGGGGCTCCATCTCAGGACCCTGAAATCATGACCTGAGCTGAAATCAAGAGACAGATGCTTAACTGACCGAGCCACCCAGGAAGCAATTTTTTTAAAACTTTTTTTTTTTTTTTTAAACAAAGCTTTTAAGTATTAATCCAAAGCAAAGGGAGAGGGACTGTGTCTCAAACCTTTCTGACTCCCTATTAACCTAGAGGATACCCCATCATCAGTTCTGGCTCCGCATCAACAGCTTCTTGGTGACAATTTCACAATACGCAAATATACACAGCTATCCTTATAAAAGCAGAAGTTTAAAAAACTAAGGGACTTAGTTAAGAAATTTTTCAGTATCTTAATTCAGTCCTTAATTTCTTCTTCATGTAATCTAAGATTTCATAAATTGTCACAAAACTGAAGCAATGACCAAGAGTCACAGAAAAAGTGACTGTGCAAATTACAGACACAGGTACGTTTGAGAAAATTTAAAACAAAAGAGGGATGCATCTACAACTAAATGTGATTATATCCTCATTTAAAAAAATATTTATTTATGTATTTATTCATGAGACAGACAGAAAGAGAGAGAGGCAGAGACACAGACGGAGGGAGAAGCAGGCTCCATGCAGGGAGCCCAATGTGGGACTCGATCCCAGAACTCCAGGATCATGCCCTGGGCCCAAGACAGATGCTCAAGAGCTGAGCCACCCAAGGATCCCGGATTATATCCTCATTAAATGCAAGGAGGAAACTCTGAAATGCTTTGTTCTCTCTACTAAAGTTTATAGCTTTATTTTTAATAACCAAACATGGGGGAAGATTTTATTTATTTATTCATGAGAGACAGAGAGAGAGAGAGAGGCAGAGATACAGGCAGAGGGAGAAGCAGGCTCCATACCAGGAGCCCGACGTGGGACTTGATCTGGGGACTCCAGGATCATGCCCTGGGCCAAAGGCATGCGCTAAACCCCTGAACCACCCAGGGTGCCCAATAAATAAAATCTTAAAACAAAAACAAAAACATGGGAAGCAATACAAGTGCCAATCATCTGGTGCTAAATTAAAAAAACCGTGGTACATCCAAACAGAAGACTACACAGCATCAAAAAGAAACAAATTACAGGGGTGCCTGGGTGGCTCAGTCAGTTAGGTGTTCAACTCTTGGTACCAGCTCAGGTTTTGATCTCAGGGTTGTAAATTCAAGCCCTGCAATGGGTTCTGCACTGGGCATGGAGCCTATACAAAGGGAGGGAAATGAATTGCTGATACACACAATAGTCTGAAATGAATTTCAAAATAATTGTGTCAAAGGAGAGAAGCCATACAGACTATGGTGGACTATCACATAATTCCACTTGATGACATTCTGGAAAAGTAGAATGACAGAGACAGAAATTAAATGGATGGTTGCCAGAGTTGGGGTTTAGAGGAAGGGGCTGATCCAAAGACCACTAGGAACCTTCTGTGGTGATGGAAATGCTCTACGTCTTGATGGCTGTGTTGATTCCATTTCTTAAAACTCACTGAAATACCTGTGAGGGGTGAATTTTACTGTATGTGAACTAGATCTCCACAAATCTAAAGTATTAGAAATCTTACTTGGACATTATACATTTGTTACAATCTGAGACAAATTTCACCTGTACCTACGCGATCATCCCAGCACTAGTCACCTGTCACTGGGATGGGTTTTTGTTTTTTTTTTTAAGATTTTATTTATTCATGAGAGACACAGAGGCAGAGACACAGGCAGAGGGAGAAGCAGGCTCCCTGTTGGGGGGCGGGGAGCCCAATGTGGGACTCGATCCCAGGACCCGGGGATCACAACCCGAGCCAAAGGCAGATGCTCAACCACGGGGCCACCCAGGCATCCCTGGGATAGGTTTTTAACAAGCTTCTCTACACCAGAGCATCATGCAGTTGATTAAATTTCTCACAAGGCTGGTACACATTTCTACCACTCCCCGAGCATGGGAAGCTCTTTGGAAAGGTAAGGTCTTCCATCTCCCTTTCCATATCAACTCAGCTCTCCCTTCTCCCTGAAATAATGCCTTAATAATAGCAGGCATGTTATTGTCCTTAAATATAATCAACTTCTACAACTCTTATGTGTCTTCCCAAAATTCCTGTTAAAGGCCTGAACCCCAATATGACTGTAAACAGGGCTTGTGAGGAGGCAATCAAGGTTAAAAGAGATTAGGGTGGGACCCCACTCTGATAGGGCTGGTACCCTTAGAAAGGAAGAGGACCAAATCTCTGTCTAGCACTCAAGGACTAAGAAGGTGGCTGTCTGTAATCCAGAAGAGGGCTCTCACTAGGAAACAAATCAACTAGCATCTTGATCTTGGATTTCTCAGACCTAAGAACTGTGAAAGACAGGGGATCCCTGGATGGCTCAGCGGTTTAGTGCCTGTCTTTGGCCCAGGGCGTGGTCCTGGTCTCCCATGATTGAGTCCCACATCAGGCTCCCTGCATGGAGCCTGCTTCTCTCTGCCTATGTCTCTTTCTCTGTGTCTCTCATGAATAAATAAATAACATCTTAAAAAAATAAAAAATAAAAAAAGTGCAGCCCGGGTGGCTCAGCGGTTTAGCGCCGCCTTCAGCCCAGGGCCTGATCCTGGAGACCCGCGATCGAGTCCCACTTCGGGCTCCCCGCATGGAGCCTGCTTCTCCCTCTGCCTGTGTCTCTCATGAATAAATAAAATCTTAAAAAAAAAAAACAAAAACGGTGGAAGATAAACTTCTGTTGCTTAAGCTTCCTGGTCTGTGGCATTTTGTCACAGCAGCTGGAGGCGACCAAGAGGGCAACTTCTGTTTTGCTGGAAATGGTAATATATTTGCCAAAAGGAATTCAACTAAGATTAACCCAACAATCTATTTTTTGCTCTTTGTATTAACATGTAAATGAAGTTATAACACTGTATTAAAATAACAATGGCTAGCATTAAGTACTAATCCTTAGCCAGGCTCCTTTTATGCATTTGGAAAGGTTAAGATCTCAATTACTCTGCAGTGACTCTAAGAAGTAGGTACAAAGGTATGGAAAGTTAAGTCCTTAGCCCAAAGTAAGTTATGCAGTGGTGCCAGGTTGGAAACAGAAGCCTTCTGGTTGCTCTTCACCAACTTATTACATCAATTAAAGACAATCAATGCATTTTTCAAAAGTTTCTAATGACATATAAATACAAAGTTGTAAAAAAAAAATTAACTTGATACTGATATTTAAGACTACAAAAAAAAAAAAAAAAAAAAAAACAACCCCAACATCCCAAACAAACAAAACCAAAACCAAAAACATGTTCAGGTACACCATAAATGGTAAAATAAAACAAGAATATTTATTTTATTATCCTTTTTTTAAATTTTTATTTATTTATGAGAGAGAGAGAGAGAGAGAAAGAGAGAAAGAGAGAGAGAGAGAGAGAGAGAAAGGCAGAGACACAGGCAGAGGGAGAAGCAGGCTCCAAGAACCGGGAGCCCAACGTGGGATTCGATCCCGGGTCTCCAGGATCGTGCCCTGAGCCAAAGGCAGGCGCTGCGCCACCCAGGGATCCCTATCCTTGTTTTTTATCATAGTACTCGGCCTTTTTTTTTTTTTTTAAACTCCAGTATAATTAACATATACATAATCTTTGTTTTTAAACCATACTTTCTCATGCTTTTTTTAAAAATATAAAATCAGATACAAAACAAAACAAAACAAAAAAACAGACCTAAATATAGCGAAGTGATGGTTAGCAGAGAGAAGGACGTTGGGGGAGGAGTGAGCTGGGGGAACAGAGACTGAGAGTACACTTTGCACGATGAGTACTGAATAATATATAGAACTGCTGAATCACTGTATCATACACCTAAAACTAAACACTAAGTTAATTAGACTGGGATTAAAAAATAAATTAAAAATATATTTAAAGTCCAAGTGATGCTTTTTTTTTAAGTCATTTGTTTTTTTTTTTTTAATTTTTATTTATTTATGATAGGCACACAGTGAGAGAGAGAGAGGCAGAGATACAGGTAGAGGGAGAAGCAGGCTCCATGCACCGGGAGCCCGACGTGGGATTCCATCCCGGGCCTCCAGGATCGCGCCCTGGGCCAAAGGCAGACGCCAAACCGCTGCGCCACCCAGGGATCCCTCCAAGTGATGATTTACTAACTTTCGGACAAACTAAATTTTTTTGTTGCCTTAACCAGTGCACTTCTCTCCCTGTAGGGAAGTGAGGAGGAGGGCAAGCTGCCGGATCGTCACTTAGGAGTGGCCAAGCAGCTGTGTGGAGGGTGACCACGCTTCATCTCACCTAGCTGCGCAGCTGTTCCTGCCCTGTGCTTCCCAGGTTCAGTCAGCCAAGGCCTATTTGAGCAGCACTATTCTAAGAGGGTATGCTCCAGATTTTATTTTACTTTTTTTTACTTTTTTTTTTTTTTATGATAGTCACACAGAGAGAGAGAGAGAGAGGCAGAGACACAGGCAGAGGGAGAAGCAGGCTCCATGCACCGGGAGCCCGACGTGGCATTCAATCCCGGGTCTCCAGGATCGTGCCCTAGGCCAAAGGCAGGCGCCAAACCGCTGCGCCACCCAGGGATCCCCTTGTTTTGTTTTTTTAAAAGATTTTATTTATTTTTTCATGAGAGACACAGAGAGAGAGGCAGAGACACAGGCAGAGGGAGAAGCAGGCTCCATGCACCGGGAGCCCGACGTGGGATTCGATCCCGGGTCTCCAGGATCGCGCCCTGGGCCAAAGGCAGGCGCCAAACCGCTGCGCCACCCAGGGATCCCTTATTTTACTTTTTTAAAAGATTTTATTTACTTATTTATGAGAGACACAGAGAGAGAGAGAGAGAGAGAGGCAGAGACCCAGGCAGAGGGAGAAGCAGGCTCCACGCAGGGAGCCCGACGTGGGACTCGATCCTGAGTCTCCAGGATCACACCCCGGGCCGCAGGCGGCGCTAAACCGCTGCGCCACGGGGCTGCCCTCTGCTCCCCGGGTTAAACGCTGCCACCTACGACTATATTTTTCCCTCTGAGCTGCATCCCGCAAGTTGTGTCATACCATGTTTTCATTTTCATTCATTTCAAGGTATTTTGTAATCTCCCTTGTGACTTGTTTGACCCCCTGGTTGTTTAAGAGCGCGTTGTCCGATTTCCACACTGAATTTTCCACGGTTGTTTTTTTTTTTTTTTTCTTTCTTTCCTGTTACTTTAATTTCATTCCGTGGAGATCGGAGATGGTCTCCGCCGTAACGGATCTGAGGGGACTGCATTATTCTAGGGGCTTACGGGAGCGCGCCCGCTTCATGAGGCGGTACCAGAACTAGACAACCTGCGGGAGGCACGGAGAAGTGACAGGCCCACCGGCAAGTGAACAAATGGCCGCTCTCACACCACAGCCGATTCCACTGGAGAAACTGGAGAGCACAGTGGGCCCCGCCCAGGGGCCTCCGGGCGGCCCGGGGAGCCGCCTGCGCTGGCCCGACCCCGGTCCCTCCGCCCCTCACCCCCGGTCCGCCCGGCCCCAGCCCCGGCCCCAGCCCCGGCCCCAGCCCCGGCCCGCACCTCTCCTCCGCCCGATGGTCCACTCCCGCTTCCTCAGGAGGACGTGCGGCTCGCCGTCCCCGGCGCCCAAGCGGAGGAGCCTCCCCCACGGCTGCTGCTGCGGCGGCTGCTCGCCTTCCCGGGGCTGCTCCATCGGATTCACATCTGACGAGATCCGGAAACGCCGGCTGAGGCGCTGGGACCGCAGAAGCAGGGGCTGCGGCCCGCCGCTCCGCCCTGAGGCCCTCCTGGCGCCCACGCCACACCACGCCGCCGCCGCCCCGGGTCGAGCGCCCGCCTCCTCCCGCCCGCCGCCGCCTCCCGCCGCGTCCCGCCCGCCGCCCCGCCGCAGCCCCGCGCCATCCGCTTACCCCCCGCCCCGCGCCTAACCCGGAACCGGCCGCACCGCAGCCACCACAGCCGCCGCTGTCAACAGACATCGCGGATTCCTCAGCTGATCGGCCAGAGCCGTCCGGGCCCTGCGATTGGCTGGCAGCGGCGCCCACCGAGCGCAGCGGCTAGAGCGGAGCCCCCAGCGCCTCGCGAGACTGCAGCGCGGGGGCCGGCGGCGCGTGCGCAGACGGGAGGCTGCGGGTCTGAGCGCCATCTTTGGTGATGGCTCAGACGGCTTCGTCCGCGGCAGGCGGCGCCATGTTAAGTGGTGGCAGAAGGGACGGAGTTACTGGGCTTGGGCGTCCGGGACAAATCCTCGAAGCGGCGCCGTAGGTGAGATGGCCTTGAGTGTTGGACGGGACCGGGGAGGGCAAGGACGAGGTAAGTGGGCGCTCGCGGGCGCGGACACCTACTGCCGAGGAGCGGAGGAGGAAGCCCGGCGTTGCGCCAGGAGACCCGGCCTGGGAGGGCAGCTGCGCGGGTGGGCGGTGCTGAAGCGCGAGGGCGCCTCGGGGCGTTTCCTGGAAGCGGAGCCGGTGCCGGCGCGTTCCTGGGAAGGAGCACGTCTGGCGCGGCAGTGCGCTGCAGCCCCCTCGGTGCCCTCGCTCGTGCGCGCAGCAGGTAGGGATGACTTTTTCTCGTTATCTAAATAAAGGAAGCAAATATTCTGAGATTGCCTCTCGCCGCCGTCTGTGGAGCGCCGAGGCTTCCTGCTTCCTCTTGGACCAGGGCCTCTCCACGTGTCCGCTCAGGCAGGCGACTCCCCAGCTGGGGACCCCAGCTTGCGGACCACAGGTTGCAGGACCCGGGATCGATGGCGAGGTCAAGCCAGGGGACCCGTGCCCTCAGCCTTGGTGCAGCGCCTGCCCTGCCGGGCTCAGGTTTCAGACGTGGGAAAGGCCACAATTAAGCATTCCTCCAAGGAAATTTGGCTTTCGGGCACCTGGTGGCCCAGTGGGTGAAGCGACTGCCTTCAGCTCAGGTTGTAACCTCACTGGCACTGGGATCGAGTGCCCATGGGGCTCCCTGCTCAGCAGAACGTCTGTTTGGTCCTCCGCCTCTGTCCCTCCTCCCCGTGGTGCTCTCTCTATTCGTGTCTCTGTCTAATAAAACCTTTTTTTTTTTTAAAGAAATACGAAGGAATTTGGTTTCTTTTTTTTTTTTTTTGATTTTTTTATTTAGTTATGATAGTCACAGAGAGAGAGAGAGAGAGAGAGAGAGAGGCAGAGACACAGGCAGAGGGAGAAGCAGGCTCCATGCACCGGGAGCCCGATGTGGGATTCGATCCCGGGTCTCCAGGATCGCGCCCTGGGCCAAAGGCAGGCGCCAAACCGCTGCGCCACCCAGGGATCCCAGGAATTTGGTTTCGACGGAAAAACAGCGAAACGCAGCAACCTGTTGGACTCTGGGTGTCGGGGACAGTGTGTGCCTGGCTTAGCAGGCCTTTCTGTTCAAGAACACAGCGGTTCCAGCCCTACCAGCTTCTCAGCTTCACTTGAAGATCTGGCGACTCCACGGAGCGGGGAGACTTCTACCAAGGCCTGACTCGACACTCTGATCTCTGTGATTCCAGGAGAATGCATTTTGGATATTTTGGGTTGTGTTACCAGGATTTAACTGTTTCCTTCAAATGATTTAATGTTACCGTGCACACAACATATTGAGGTCAACGATGATTATTACTTGTACTTCTGTTTTGTGGCTGTAATCCAGGAAAATGAAGAGGGTTTTCGTTTTTATTTGCATCATCACAGAAAGTCTTACTGACTTATTAACATATTTCTTTGCTTCGCTGAATATATACAGGTATGTAAAAAAAAGGATTCAGAGTTCAAAAATAAAAATTAGTGGTATCAAAACGTACCCACAAGTGGGTGGCAGTTTTCCAAACTAAAGGGAATGGGCAAGGGGCTTTGCAAAACCAGAAGCAACAACAGACATGTCAGCTAACATCTGAAGAGGGCAAAATGTTCTTCTGAAATCCTATTGATCCCCAAAAGACAACCCTAATGAAGGCATAATGTCATCCAGGCAGGACCTTATTTCAACACCAGGTCAACTAAAACCTTCTTGACACATTTCCACTTTCAACTGTTATACTGTTGAGGCCAACCGGAAAAACATGTCATAATAATGGAATGTAATCACAGTATGAAAACACCTTTTATAACCGTTACAAGAAAACATGTCCAGAAAGGTCCAACCTGGAAGATCATGGATATTGCTCAAACCTTTCAGACTTGGTCATGAGACCACAAGCTTCCTCTACCCCATGGTATCCAACCTACCAGGCAGGCAGGGTCCATGGACCGGTGACAAAGCCAGCTCAGGTTCCAAAGCAAAGTGCTGCAGCTGAAAAGCCAGCTAGGAAGATAAAGCCACAGAACCCTGAAAATCGTAGCCAGGGCTGGTGTTCAAAATAAAAGAAACAAGATTGGGAATGAGAAATGCTTCCCATTCTCCCCTCTCTCTTCCCCTTCTCCCCACATTTGCTCTTGTGCTCTGTGCTCACCCTTCATCTGAAGGAATCGCCATGGGAAGTGAGGGGAGAATGTGTGTGTGCAAAACCACAGCCACAGAAGACCCTTCTCTTGCCTGCAGACAGAAGTCATTTCGCTGCCTGAGACTTAAGTTCTGAACCTCAATTAAATGTGCCCCAGTTGATCTATCTAACCTGGACTTCAGGTTCCTTCGCAATGCATTGTAAAAGATGCCACAAATGTTTGGTGTGTAAAATGATATGTTACTTACCCCATGGGTCAAAAACAGATCCTTTTCTATGGGCTAGAGAGAGACTTGATAATATCTATGTCAAGAGTTTTTAAGAAAAAGTGCAATCAAAACGATGTTGACAGGGAAATGTTACACAGAAAACAGCACTCAGTAGAGTTAAAATTTGCTGTTTTTGTACATCATGTAAACTTCATTTGCAAAGAAAAACATTTTCTCAGTTCAGATATTCATTTGAATGTAGAAAATTTTAGAAACAAATTAGAAGGAAAAAAAAGGAATTACCTCACCTTCTCTGGCAATAGGAATTTTCCTGCAGCAATCTCTCCATCTAGTTTTAAGGACACTTGAGAAACTTTTTTTTTTTTTTTTTTGCCTTTTTCCACTTATCATGAGCCTTTCCACATTCTGAAATGTCTATGAAACCCATCTTAAGAGCTGCCTAAGGGACTTCTGGATGATGCAACGGTTGAGCAGCTGCCCTTGGCCCAGGGCTTGATCCTAGAGTCTCAGGATCGAGTCCCACATCAGGTTCCCTGCAGGGAGTCTGCTCCATCTGCCTGTGTCTCTGCCTCTCTCTCTCTCTCTCTCTCTCTGTGTGTGTGTGTGTCTCCCATGAATGAGTAAATAAAATATTAAAAAGATCTGCCTAATAGTGGCACCAAGGCAGCTCAGTCGGTTGAGCATCTATCTGCCTTGGGTTTAGGTCATGGTCTGTGGTTCTGGGATTGATTTCTGCCGGCGGGGGCGGGGGGGGGGGGCTTGCTCAGCATGAAGTCTGCTTCTCCCTCTCCCTCTCCCTCAGCCTGCAGCTCCCTCTGCCTATGCTCTCTATCAAATACTTTTTTTTTTTTTTTTTTAAGAGCCTGCTGGGCTCAATCGTAGAGCATGCAACATTCCATCTCGGGTTTGTGAGTTCAGCCCATTGGGTATAAAGATTACTTAAAAATAAAATCTTTTTAAAAAATGAAGACTCATATGTTAAAAAAAAATTCCTTTACTGTCTGGCATTTAGGATGTTGCCAGATTGCATAATGCTATTCCATCAAAATTCTCATACAAGGTCTTTGAATACATGCTGGGTTAGGTGTTTGTTTGTTATTTGTTTGTTTTAAGACTTCTGTCCTGAAATGAGCCTGGCTATTTTTTTATATTTTAAGATTTTTTTAAAATAATTTTTTTTTATTTATTTATGATAGAGAGAAAGAGAAGCAGGCTCCATGCACCGGGAGCCCGACGTGGGATTCGATCCCGGGTCTCCAGGATCGCGCCCTGGGCCAAAGGCAGGCGCCAAACCGCTGCGCCACCCAGGGATCCCTATATTTTAAGATTTTATTTACTTATTCATGAGAGACACAGGGAGAGGCAGAGACAGGAGAAGCAGGCTCCATGCAAGGAGCCTGACATGGGACTTGATCCCAGAACTCTGGCATCATGCCCTGAGCTGAAGGCAGATGCTCAACCACTGAGCCACCCAGGCATCCCAGTGGGTTAGGCTTTAAAGACTTTTAAAAAAGTACTTGCTAAGTACTTAATATTTGGCTTTTGTTGGAAAATGTTTTTAGGGGTGCCTAGGTGGGTGAGTGGGTTAGGTGGCCAACTCTTGATTTTAGCTCTTGATTTTTCTTTTTTTTTTCTTTTTTTTTTTTAATTTTTATTTATTTATGATAGTCACACACACAGAGAGAGAGAGAGAGGCAGAGACATAGGCAGAGGGAGAAGCAGGCTCCATGCACCAGGAGCCCGACGTGGGATTCGATCCCGGGTCTCCAGGATCGCGCCCTGGGCCAAAGGCAGGCGCCAAACCGCTGCGCCACCCAGGGATCCCAAGCTCTTGATTTTTCAAGGTTGTGGGATAAGGCTCTGAGATAGGCTCTGTGCTGGATGTCAAGCCTGCTTAAGATTCTCTCTCTCCCTCTCTGTATCTCCCCCTCCCACGTCCTTCTTTTAAAAAATGTTTTTAAATTGATGTTTTGGGGTGCCTGGGTGGCTCAGTGAGTTAAGCATCTGCCTTTGGCTCAGAATATGATCTCAGGGTCCTGGGATCAAGTCCCATATGGGGCTCCGTGCTCAGCGGGAAGTCTGCTTCAGATGGGGCTAATGAAACTGTTCTTCTGGCAATGAATGTCTGACAAACATCAAATACTAGAAAATGAAAACTAAAACACAGAAGCAGTAATTTTGAAGTCTTAAAAGGGAAAATTTAAAATTCACTCAAGTTTAAGGCTTTTAAAATGAGAAGGCTTGTAGAATGAGAGAAAATATACTTTTCCCCCTGAGGAAAAATTTACCAAGAGAATCTAGAAGAGGGAAAGAAATTGGAGATACAGAGAGGAAAGACA